TCAGGACCAATTCAGTTTACATTATACACGCTTCCCTTATTAGAAGGCATATTTTCATTACTGTGCAGATAAAGAGCTCTGTCTGTCCACAAAGACAGATGACACACACCAATAAGTTTTTAATAAATCTTAAAAGGTTTGTGCAGTTAGAGGTCATCAAATTAGAGGTCAGCTCCGGGATGATCTCTAATTTTCTACTTCTAAATTCAGAAGTAGAAACAGCGTCGTTGCTTTGTATCACCTGCGATGTGCATTGCAACCTGTGCACTGCTGCCCGCGGGACAGAGACCAGTAGCTCCGCAGCTTCTCTGCCGACGCCCCTCCTTCTCCTCCGGTACTCCTCCGAGCACAATGCGCTGATATCCGCACGCTCGGTAAAAGAATGATTTCTTTTGTGTCGACAGTAGAGGGTGTTCCCAGAGATACGGGCACCGCAAGCCTTTACCAACGGATCAGAAAGGTCTTGACGAGGTAAGATGATCGTGATGGCGCTGAACAATTTACATTCACTCTGCGCTCCAAACACAAGCTGGCCATCACACCCGTCAGATTCTGCTGCATACTGAGCAACAGATGTCATCGTAGCATCATGCAAAGAGCTGTGTGTGGAGGGTAAAGCATTCGAGAAGGAGCGTTAATACATTTATAATGCATTTCGTTTTATTGTCGTTTTCGTTGTCCAGGGCTAGACAAGTTGTGTTGGGTCGGTGTCTGCTGCCGTGCTGCGTTTATCTTTCCGCTAAATTGCTGCTGTCCAGTCCCCGTGTCTGCTAAAGCCTCCGTCACCTCTACTCACTGGCCTCACTCACTGCATCCTTCAAACTCCCTTTGTATTTGCCTACTACATGCCTACCAATACCAATATGTAGGACTGCTCGCTTCCATTTTCGAAACATCTCCAAAATGATAAATATCCCTGTGCACAGTGATGCTGAAAAACTAGTAGATGGATTTATTATTTTTAGGCATGATTACTGTAATTCGTTATTATTAGAATGTCCTAAAAACTCACTGGAAAGCCTTCAGTTAATCCAAAATGCTGCAGCGAGAGTACTGACAGGGACTAGAAAGAGAAAGCATATTTCTCCTATATTGGTGTCGTCTATTAGCTTAAACTAGCTCGAATTTATATGTGCAACACATCAACGTTTCAGCTGTGAAAACAACGTGACAAAGTGAAAGAGTCACTTGTAGTAACCTACAGAAAGGCTTAAGTTAAGTTCAATTCTAATTCTGTTCTATTCTACTTCTAATTTTTAGCTGCCTTCCTTGTACTGTTTTGATTCACTCTCTGTCATTCCAACAGTGGACAACCTTATCAGACACAAACAGTAAGATATCAAGTGATGATCATTTTTGGTTTCCATGGCCAAGCAGCTACATTTAAGCATTACATCACTAAGTACAATATAAAGCATTGGATGCAGTGGTTGGTGTAAACTGGGGATTATGGTCTGGGGTTGTTCTTACAAGCTCCAGCGAAAGGAATTCTTGTTTGTTTTAAACAAACTATTTTTTCTGTTTTTGTCTATTTGTTTCTACCTCCCCAGCTGTTGTATTTTTTATTGTTTTGGTGTCTTGCCTGTCTTGCCTTAGACGCCGTTGTACTATTCCACATATAATGTAATGTCTGAAATAAAACAAAAACAAACAAACAAATAAACAGATAAAAGATTCACATGAACAAGAGGAGCCTATAGAGATTCTGTATAGCTGTTCTTGCAAAAGCAAAATGTGTTTGGCACCACTGTGCACTCAGATCACAATACTGACTGCAGGACAGGTTTTCTTTTTTAAAAAAAGTTCACATACTTGTGAAGGTGGACAAGCGTATACTTTTGACAAAATATTGTGGGTCAATGTGTGCTTCTTGGTACAGTCAAGTACTCCTGGTGGCCAAAAACTGTTATTGCATTAGTAAGTATGATTTCAGGTATTTCATTTTATAAGTCTTCTCATATGACAGAGAATGATGTAACAAGCAGAGAATGTCAGAGTATATTATTGCCTTATGATTATAATAATCCTTGCCATTCATGCTCAGTGATAAATCTGACTTTTTGTCCGTGTGTGCTGTCCTCCACAGGGACCTGCTGGTGACCTTGGCCCTGGGTCAGGTCCTGTCCTTGTTAATTTGCGCTTTAAGTCTGACAAGCAAATACCTGGCGAATGACTTTCACGCTAACACTCCAGTCTTTCAGAGCTTCCTCAACTACATCCTGCTGTTTCTGGTGTACACTACCACGTTGGCAGTCAAGCAAGGTAAAGCCACAAGCTAAGATGTGTGAGTGCATAAATCAATATCAATATTCTATCTAGCTATCTAATTATAATAAGAATGATAATAATGAAGATGAGGCAACTGTCTATGTCAATGAATATCAGAGTCTATACAGTCTTTTTTGTGTTGACTTTTAATTCAAGTTCAGTTTGAGTACCATCAGGCTTGTTTTATGTTTTGTTTTTATGTTAATATTGTCACGGCCTGCGGAGGCAGACTGTGTGGAGTGTGTGAGGAGGACCCAGGTGGAGACACAGATGAGGAACCAAAACTAAACTTGAACAAAAAGCAAGCCTTTATTTTGGGGCTGAAACTCACAAACATAAGACAAGGCAAAATGAGAGAAAACCTAAATATACACTGGGCAAATTTTAACTATGACTTTAAACTATGACTTGAACTATGATTCTCACTATGATTTTAACAAGATAACGACTATGATAACTGTGACATGATATGGGTAGCACAGACACAAGACACTGAACTCAAGAAGACAGAGGGCTTAAATACACAAACGAGGTGATCAATGGAAGTGGAGACACACGAGGAAACAGCTGACTAGAATGAACCTAATGACATCATGGAACACAAGACCCCTTCAAAATACAACAGGAACTATAAATAGGACACAGACGTGACATGAGCTTGACAACATGAACCACGCAGACATGAGACACGACAGACAGACACACTAACCAATAGGGGAGACTTAAACACAGGGGTGGGACACAAGGGGAACGTGATAAGCCATGAACTTACACTGTAACCTAGGCATGACAGAATTTAACCAGATAAGCTGAAATGAAACTAGATTTGCAAATAAATACCAAAATGAAGAGCAGGGGATCCAAGCACAGAACCTTGAGGCACATCTTGGTTAACTGGAGTAGACGTGTAACAGACTGGGTGGCTGTAGCTCAGGTGGTAGAGCAGGTCATCTGCTAATTGGTTGTTCAAACCCTCCAGTCTGAATCCTAAATATCCTTGGGCAAGATACTAACCCCAAGTTGCACTCCGATGCATCCACTGGAGTATGAATGTGTGCTAATGTTAGTTAGAAAGCACTTGTATAAAGTGCTTTGAGTGTGAGATAGAGTAGAAAAGTGCTTTATGTCCATTTACTGTTCACAAACTATTGTGTGTTGGAGAGATAGAACTGAAAGCAAGAGGGTAAAGCACCGGTTAGATGAGAAACTGGTTTTGAAGGCTAGAGAAAGGTCCAGGAGGATGAGGATGCTGAGTTAGAGGTTAGTGGTCAGAGTCCACTCCAATAAGAGTGGACATTAGTTATTTTGATGAGAGCCACTCATTTAGCTTGGGAGTCACTTCACCGAGCGCTTCGATTACCACTGGGATCACTGTTACCTTCACCCTCCACATCTTCTCGAGCTCTTCTCTGAGCCCTTGTTACTTCTCAAGCTTCTCATGTACCTTCATGCCTTCCTTCTGTATTGCTACATCTATCACTAAGGCCGTCTTCTTCTGCTTGTCTAACACTATGTCTGGTTGGTTAGCCACCACCATTTTGTCCGTCTGTATCTGGAAGTCCCTCGGTCATTCTCCACCACCCTTGGGGGAGTTTGCCATTTTGACCTCAGGACTTCCAGGCCATATTCGGCACAGATGTTTCTGTATACTATGCCGACCACTTGGTTATGGTGTTCCATGTATACCCTGTCTGCTAGCATCTTGCACCCTGCTGTTATGTGCTGGATTGTCTCGGGGACATCTTTACACAGTCTGCGCCTTGGGTCTTGCCTGGTGTGATAGACCCCAGCCTCTATGGATCTTGTGCTCAGAGCTTCTTCCTGTGCTGTCATGATTAGTACCTCTGTGCTGTCTTTTAGTCCAGCTTTGTCCAGTCACTGGCAGGATTTCTGGATGTCAGCCACCTCCACTATTTGCAGTTGTGCATAACGTGCAGGGGCCTGTCCTTCATGATGGTTCCTCCTCTTCCTTGGGTTTCTGCTGCTTGAGGTATTCACTAAGCACGCTGTCGGTTGGGGCCGTCTTGCTGATGTATTCGTGGATGTTCGTTGTCTCATCCTGGACTGTGGTGCTGAAACTCATGGTTCCATTTGCCTGTGGGATCCCCAAGTACTTGTACCTGTCCTCTATGTCTGCAATGTTGCCTCCTGGTAGTTTGATCCACTCAGTTCTGACTACCTTCCCCTCTTTTTGTTATCATCTGACTACACTTCTCCAGTCTGAACTACATTCCGATGTCACTGCTGTATATCCTGGTGGTGTGGATCAGTGAATCGATGTCTTGTTCACTCTTGGCATACAGCTTAATGTCATCCATGTAGAGGAGGTGACTGACAACTGCTCCATTCCATAGTCGGTATCCATAGCCAGTGTTGTTAATGAACTCACTGAGGGGGTTCAGGCCTATGCAGAATAGCAGTGGGGACAGAGAATCTCCTTGGTACATCCCGCACTTGATGGCGACTTGTGCCATGACTTTGAAGTTGGCCTCCAGTGTTGTCTGCCACGTCCCCATTGAGTCCCTGATGAAGACTCTTAGGGTCCTGTTGATCTTTCACATTGATGTGAAAGACTCACTGTCACTTATTGCAAACTTCTGTGTTGCAAGATACTAACTTTATTTGATAATGACAAAGTTGTGGAAATGACTTTCATATGTGATCTTATGGTATAAACTACTTGCAACATCTTCACAAAATATAAACAGAAAATAATATTTTTGGCTGACTGACTAAATAGGACATTTGTGACTGTGTGTGTGTGTGTGTGTACAATGTTTACATATATTTGTGGGGACCAAAAATTTGAATATTACTAAACTTGTGGGGACCAGTAGCCCTTATGGGGACAAAATGCCTGTCCCCAAGAGTATGAAGTCTTTTTGACACTCAAAATGTGGTTTTAGTGTCAGGGTTACAATATGTTTATGGTTAGGTTTAGGCTAAGCAGTTAGGGTTATTCCTTCATTTGTGATGGTTAGGGTAAGATGCTGGGAAAGCATTATGTCAATTAGATGTCCCCACTAAGATATGAAAACACGATTTTGTGTGTGAGTGTGTGTGTGTGCACATGTGCTGTAATGGAGTAAATTATCTTGTCCCTATGTTTGGAATACTGTTGTGAGATTCTTTCCTTTTGTCCCTTTCTATGTTTCTCACCAGGGGAAGGGAACTTGCTGGCCATTCTAATGCAGCGCTGGTGGAAATACATGATTCTGGGTGTCATAGACATTGAGGCCAACTATTTGGTCCTTAGGGCTTACCAGTACACTACACTGTCTAGTGTACAGGTTGGTATGCGTGAGTGCTTCTGTGCATGTTTGCAGACATTACATTAAAGCCAGCTGTCCTCATAGTACCCATAGAGTTTTTGTGAAGTCTGACAAAATAATGTTGATGTTTATGGTACAAAGCTTGTTTAAGTTTTTTTTTTTTTTTAAATAAAAAAGCCCTTGGGTTCCATTATGGAAAATCAGTGAAGAATCAGGATACCTTGACTTCTGCTTCGCCAGTGTGGCATGGTGGTGCCATGCTAGATGTTGCTGCATCGGAGCAAGCAGGTCCTTGGTTGGATATGTGGGATTTGCAGTTCAGAATTTAGTTACTCTGGCTTCCTCCCACATTTCAAAGACATGCATGTCTTTGAAATGTAATAAGTGAATTTAAATTAGCACAGGATGCAAGGTATGCAAAGTGCTTAAAGTGTATAGAATAAAGTAGGGCTGGGTGATGAGAGGAAAATCTAATATCAAGATATTTTTTGGCCCTCTCATGATACACGATATATATTGCGATATGTTTACGCGACTCAGGAGGGGAAAGTGGTGCTCTACCTGCACTGTGTATAGTGCGAGTAGAGCACTGCCGACTTCAGTTGAATTCAGTTGAATTCAATTTTATTTATACAGCACCAAATCAAAACAACAGTTGCCTCAAGGTGCTTTATATTGTAAGGTAGATCCTACAATAATGCATACAGGGAAAAACCCAACAATCATATGACCTCCTATGAGCAAGCACTTTGGCGACAGTGAGAGGGAAAAACTCCCTTTTAACAGGAAGACACCTCCAGCAGAACCAAGCTCAGGGAGGGGCGGCCATCTGCCGAGACTGGTTCTGGAGAGGGAAAGAAGACAAGAAAAATCATATGCTGCAGAAGAGAGCCAGAGATAATAAAAGTATGATTCAATGCAGAGAGGTCTATTAACACATAATGAGTGAGAAAGGTGACTGAATAAGAAATACTCATTGCATTCATGACTTCAACTGAGAACATTCTCGGGGAGTGAAAGGAATACTTTGAGGACCTCCTTAATACCACTGCTACATCTTCTGCGGAGGAAGCAGAGTCTGGGGACGAGAGGGACAACTTGTCTATCTTTGGGGGTGAGGTCCCTGAGGCAGTTAAACAGCTCCTTGGTGTCAGGGCCCCTGGAGTGGATGAGGTTTGCCCTGAGTTCCAGAAGGCTTGTCAATGCCAGGGTGATGTGAAGGAGAGACCGTAGTTGAACCTCGGATACAGGAGGAACAATGCAGCTTTCATCCTGGTCGTGGAACACTGGACGAGCTGCTTTGTGGACTTGTGGAAGGCATTTGACTATGTCCCTTGTAGTGTCTTGTGGGAGGTGCTTCAGGAGTATGGGGTGTCATAAATGGAAACTTTAACGGCCTTTGAGCCTGTTACCAGCTTAGGTGGGTTGCCGAACTGCTGGTGAGGTGACAGTGAAGTTGGTCATAAATAGCCTCCATTGATTGTCCAGATCTAACTCTAGGTGTGCTGTCCAATTGAGAGAATGGTAGGTCCGCCCCAAGGTGGTTACAGGAGGCAGGGATCCACACCAGCTACACCCACCTGATCAAATGGACACTTCTCTGCTTAGGCTGCTGCTCCCGCAACCCAGATCCGGATAAGCAGAAGAAGATGGATGGATAGATGGATGAATAATTATTCCTGCAGTCTTACTATTTATATTATATTCCTGCACAGTTTGTGTGGGTCACCCACAATTTCATTGTACATCTACAATAACAATAAAGGGCTATTCTGTTCTATTCTCTTTGATTATTATTCTTTGGGTCTCTTAAACATTAAATTGGTATCCTCTGACAATGATGCAGATCTAATCTGCATTGACAGACCACTAGGAACTCTACTGAAATCACCTATTGCATTGTTTAGAATACACAGTAATGGAGTCACTAGTCAACAGTAACAAAAAGATAAGTCTGATTAGAATGAAACAACATTTCCGGTGTGAACGAAAAAGAAATCATCAACCTGTTTATTTTTTTCTCTGTGCACAATTCTTTCTCTCAGCTCTTAGACTGTTTTGTCATCCCAGTGGTATTGCTGCTGTCCTGGTTCTTTCTCCTAGTGAGATACAAGACTGTCCATTTTGTCGGGACAGGTCTATGTTTGCTTGGCATTGGCTGCATGGTAGGAGCTGACATTCTTCTTGGTGGACAGCAAGGCTTTGGCAAGTACCAAGTACACACTGTCAAGTACACATAAATACTTAAAAAATGACACTCAACAAATTTACATTTGATTGCAAGCAGCTCATCAAGGCACAGATCCACTGGTAATTTGATATGATAAACAATGCATGTGTGGGTGCTATGAGTTTGTTGGGGCCTCTTGGTCATTTGTGAGTGTTGATTCCTCCTCTCTTTCTTCCTGAATCTTTCCAGGAGAGCAGAAGCTGTTTGGGAATCTGCTAGTTCTGGGAGGAGCTATGCTGTACGGAATATCCAATGTATGCGAAGAGTTTATTGTAAAGAACTTGAGTCGTGTTGAATTCCTGGGCATGTTGGGACTATTTGGATCCTTCTTCAGCGGCATTCAGCTGTGAGTTTGTGTGGAGGAGAAACATGCTTCATAAATGCAAGTGGTCAAAATTTAATAAGTAACAAGCTAGGTATAATTAGCACAGTTTTGATGTATTTTTCTTTAATTTCTAAATTGAATTTTTTAAATTTAATCAAATTTTAGACATATTGTACTTTTAACTGAACTATGTGTATTTTACAGCATTTGTTATTAGCCTTTAAGAGAATACATTTTAACCTTAAAAAAATTAAGTATTAATGCATAATGATAATACAGGTACATTACAGGTACAAATGGTGAGAGGATGTAAGAACAACACTTTCTGAATGTAACTTTGGCCTTTCCACTCATTCCTATCAGGTATTTTAGACACATTTTCACAAGGAAATTAAATCTAAAACTTTAAGGCACATGGACTAGTTCTTATATAGAACTTCTTTTACTCCTCCTGAGCACTCAAACCAGTTTATACAACTTAACTTATTCACCCATTCACCCATTCACACAAGCAAACTTTTTTTATGTGTTTTCTAAGTAAGTGCTTTCTATCTAACATTCATACTCCAGTATATGCATTGGAGAGAGCAACTTGGGGTTAGCATCTTCCCAAGTATATATGGCATGCACAATAGAGCAGCCAGGAATCAAACCACCAAACCTTCCAGTTGGTATGCAGATGACCTGCTCTCCCTCCTGAGCTACAACCACCCCATTTATCTGCAATTTGAACCTTTACACAAAAAGCGAAACACCACTGAAAGTGTCTTGATGCATGCTCAATCATCCAGGTAAGGAAATCCCAAAAGGTTGATTCTGTTCATTTGAACATAGTGTTTTCAGTGGGAGAAACGTTTTGTCACTCATCCAAGTGACTTCTTCAGTCTCTGCTGACTGCAGGTTTCTCCAAGTGTATAATGAGTACATTTGTATAATGACTGAAACTAGCACCACTGGCAAACAATGGGCCATGAGGTCAGTTTCTTGATCATTAATATGCAAATTGTTATGTTACGTCCAGATAAACAGAATCAACTTTTGTGGGAGCACTGAAAGTGGGTTTGGCCATACTAAACTAGAATAAACATTCTTTGTCCACTGTGCACCAAGCGCCAAGACCCTAAAGGAACTCTGGTTCTGTAAAAATAAGCCAGTGCTATTAAATCTCTGTGTATGCTTTGTTGCAGGGCTATCATGGAACACAAAGAGCTTCTAAGAGTATCCTGGAACTGGCAGATAGGTGACCCTGAACACACACACACACACACACACACACACACAGTTGTGTGTGTGTTTGTTGACCCTCGGATACAGGAGGAACAATGCAGTTTTCGTCCTGGTCATGGAACACTGGACCAGCTCTTTATCCTCTCGAGGATACTCGAGGGCGCATGGGAGTTTGCCCAACCAGTCTACATGTGTTTTGTGGACTTGAAGAAGGCATTCGACCGTGTACCTCGGGATGTCCTGCGGGGAGTGCTCCGGGAGTATGGGGTGTCTGGCCCATTGCTACGGGCCATTCAGTCCTTATACGACCGCTTTCGAAGAGCTTGGTCTGCATAGCCGGCAATAAGTCGGACTTGTTCCTGGTGGGTGATGGGCTCCGCCAGGGCTGCCCTTTGTCACCGATTCTGTTCACAATTTTTATGGACAGAATTTCTAGGCGTAGCCAAGTGGCGGAAGGCTTTCACTTTGGTGGTCTCAGGATCTCATCTCTGCTTTTTGCAGATGATGTGGCTTTTTGCAGAGATGCTGACCTACAGCATCTCTGTATTGACCTAGAGGTCAAAGAAAATGCAGTTGATGCATTTACTCACACTTCCAAGCGCATGGGTCCTCGTATTGAAGTATGTAATGAAGCTCATCACTTAGGAAAACATGGGAAACCATCACTCAAGGATAAAAAGTCAAAGCATTTGTTTCTCAAACTTTATCAGACTTTCTCAAGCTTTCTCACAAATAAGACTTCAAAGATTTGCACGCTCTTCAGTTCCCCTCTGTAAGTGACAGAGTCAGAGATGGAACTAGTGTGCTTTATCAAGGGATGGGCTTCTGAGAAGAAATGTTCAAGCTACATGCTTGCATTATAAGGTAGCCCTTTCTAGTGGCTGCTGCCAGTCACACAAGATGGCATTTTGATGGTAGGTACATCAGCCATAAAAGAGGAGGCAAAACACCCTGAAACCTCTCATTCTCAGATCTGCTCACATGGATCTTGGTCAAAGTGGCAGGAATCACATTCAAGTTAGTTCAGTTCAACTGTATATGTGTATAGAGACTATTTACAACAGTCCCTTAAGGCACTTCATTGTAAAATAAATACCACATAGTATTGGAATCAGACAACCCCCTATGAGCAAGCACTTGGAGACTCTGGGAAGAAAAAACTCCCTTGTAATAGAAAAAAACCTCTAGTAGAATCAGGCTAGAACATAAATATAGATCACATTGAGGCACCTGTTGTTGTGATTTGGTTCAATATAAATACAACTGAACTAAAATGAAAAGTATTGGAGAAGTACCCTGTTCACTTAAAAGACACAAAATGTGTTAGGAAATCCCATAAAAGTTTTTTGCCTTGGTTTGTCTGGAGAAAAGGGCTTGTGACTACGCCTCAGTATGTAAAAATTTTGGTACACAAATGTGTTTTCCTGCATCTCTACAGTGTAGGTTGGGAATGAAGAGTTAGCAATAAGTCATAGCATGATCCATAAGATCACAATAACCACTTTTATGGTAAATGGTACATAGACTGGTTCTTACATAGAGTTTCTCTACTGTATTTGAGCACTTTATAATGAAATGAAAATAAATCCTATTAAAAACGATACCTCTTTGTGTGTTCACAGGTCTTCTTTATGTTGGTTTCAGTGCCTTCATGTTTGGCCTTTACAGCTTCATGCCTGTTGTGATGAAGAGGACTAGTGCCACCTCAGTCAATCTGTCTCTGCTCACAGCTGACCTTTACAGTCTCTTCTGTGGCCTCTTTCTCTTTCACTACAAGGTAATCAACTGCCAGGAATCATTTATGTGATGATGTGCAGTTTAAAAGATATATATATACAGTAAAGCACTATTTAGTTTGACTAGACTAATTGATTTAGTTGATTAAAACTAAAATAACTAAACTGCATTGTGGTATAAATGATGTACACTGTTGTGACTTATGAAAATGCTAATGATACTTGTCACACTTAGAAATCTTTTTTTGCTCATAAAAAGTGATATAAAGTTAAGAATGGATGAGGTGAACACAAAAAAGGCAAGAGCTATGCTGGCAGGCAGGTGGCACAGGTCTGATAGTGGAGGGTCAGTGGGTTTGGTGACATGGGCAGCAGGACATTCACACAGGTTCCAGAAGTAATACAAGGAAAACGGAGTTTATCTTTACTGTATTCGGTGTTGCTATAATGAGAAATGTATCTTCAAAGCTGAGAACTTGAGATGTGTTGTAAAAACGTGTCAAAGCATATTTTAAAATGGAAACTTTTCTGGAAACTGCTTTCTTACAACCTTAGAAAAAAACAAACAAACATTTTTTATAGTAAATTTTTATCGGAAGTCTCGTAACTGACGGTCTTTATGCAACATTTATTTAAGTTGTAGCTTAGTTGTAGCATATAAGAAACTATCAATAGCTTAGTTGCCATTAACCATGCCCACTAGAAGGGAAAACAGGTAATCCCAAAACTGGAAGCTGAAATGCTTAAATAATGCCTTTAGAGAGTTTATTTGTCAGATGATTGTTTTAGCACAGTACAGGGGGTAAAATAAGTATTGAAAGCTTCATCTATGTTCTTAGTAAATATATTTTTAATGGTGCTATTGACATGAAATATCACTAGATGTCGATAACAACCCATACAATCCACACATGAAAAGAAGTCAAGACATTGCATATGACCTCAAAAACGCCATCCCAACACCGAAGTTTGGAGGTGGGAACCTCATGATGTGGGGCTGTTTTTCAGCATAGATCATTGGTATGCTTCATATAATTGAAGAAAACATGTACTGAGACGATCTTGATAAAAAGCTGCTGCCATCTACCAGGATGATGATGATAAAATGAAGGTGGATGTATAAGCAAGAGAATGATCGCAAATACACAAAGTGTGGAGCATGAAAATGTCCAAAATGTCTTGGTATGCTGAACTATTAAGAGTTCCTGGGAACTAAGGGGCTAAGCTCACTTTCTGAAAAACAACCCCACACCATATTTCAATTCAATTCAATATTATTTATATAGCACCAAATACAACAGCAGTTGCCTCGAGGTGCTTAATATTTTAAAGTAAAGACCCTACAATAATGTAGAGAAAATCCCAACAATCAGATGACCTCCTATGAGCAAGCACTTTGGTGGCAGTGGAAAGAAAAGCTTTTAACCTCCAGAAAGAAACTTCCACCAGAAGCAAGCTCAGGAAGGTCATCTGCTGCAACTTATAGAGGTGAGAAAGACAGGACAAAAAATGCTGTGGAAGGGAGCCAGAGATGAATAATAATGCTTAATTAAATGCAGAGTGGTGTATAAACACATAGTGAGTGACAAGGGTTGAGAGAAGGAGAAATACTGGGCCTATGGCGCAATCACTAAGGGAGGATTCAGGGATACCTGGCCCAGCCATAACTATAAGCTTTGTCAAAAAGGAAAGTATTTAGCCTAATCTTAAATTAGAGATAGCGTCTGTCTTCCAAATCCAAGCTGGGAGATAGTTTCACAGAAGAGGGGCCTGAAAGAAGGCTCTGCCTCCCATTCTACGTTTAAATACCTTAGGAACAACAAGTAAGTTTCCAGTGTGAGAGTGATTGGGGTTGTTGGGGTGATATGGTACTATGAGGTACCATACCATTTAAGATAACATGGGGTCTGATTTTGGTCAAAATCTTTTGACTTATTTGAGCTACACTACCAGTCAATTTGTCCAGTTTGTTATTGAAAATTATCCAGTTTAATGTCTGATTGAACTCTGAAGAATATAATCCAGCCACTGTTATCATCGTCAATGCCCTGTACCAACACAGAGCAGAGCAGCTATCTGAACGCTACCCCAACAGAGGTCGATT